TGTTTCCCTCTATAGTAACAGTCCTGTATGTTTCCCTCTATAGTAACAGTCCTGTATGTTTCCCTCTATAGTAACAGTCCTGTATGTTTCCCTCTATAGTAACAGTCCTGTATGTTTCCCTCTATAGTAACAGTCATGCGTGTGTCCCTCTATAGTAACAGTTCCGTGTGTTTTATCTCGGTAGCTGTTACTTTGACGTGAAGCTTGGAGCGCTGGCCGGTATCTTCTACACCACCGTGCCCCTGCTCCTCGTGCTCCTGCTCAACACACTGCTCTACATCGGCACGTGGAAGAACATTCGCAACCAGGCGCTGCAGATCAAGGTGAGATAATAATCCCCGTGACCATAGCAACCATGCGCTGCAGATTAAGGTGAGATAACAATCCCCGTGACCATAGCAACCAGGCGCTGCAGATCAAGGTGAGATAATAATCCCCGTAACCATAGCAACCAGGCGCTCAAGGTGAGATAACAATCCCCGTGACCATAGCAACCAAGCGCTGCAGATCAAGGTGAGATAACAATCCCCGTAACCATAGCAACCAGGCGCTGCACATCAAGGTGAGATAACAATCTCCGTGACCATGGCAACCAGGCGCTGCAAAATAAGTTCAGCTAACCATGACCCTTACCTTGAACCTGACCTTTTCTCTAACCTTGTCCATGATCGTAACCGTAGCAACCAGGCTCTGCAAATAAAGTTTAGCTAATAGCTGCAACGCTAACCCTGAACGTAATCGTATCTCTATTTTCACACATACTCCTAACCATAACCGTAGCAGCTAGGCCACGCCGGTTAGAGTCAATTAAAGTGAAATTTCAGGGCTCGGAGGCGCAGCAGGCGGCGCGTGACGTCACCGCACTTCACGATGACGTCGCTGCTATTTGCAGGGCTCGAAAGCCGGCGCTGCGGCGCGCGTGACGTCACCGCACTTTACGATGACGTCACTGCTATTTGCAGGGCTCCGAGACGCAGCAGGCGGTGGCGCTGCGGCGCGTGCACGACAGCGCGAGCACGATGACGTCACCGCACTTTACGATGACGTCACTGCTATTTGCAGGGCTCGGAGACGCAGCAGGCGGTGGCGCTGCGGCGCGTGCACGACAGCGCGCGCACTATGACGTCACCGCACTTTACGATGACGTCACTGCTATTTGCAGGGCTCGGAGACGCAGCAGGCGGTGGCGCTGCGGCGCGTGCACGACAGCGCGCGCACTATGACGTCACCGCACTTTACGATGACGTCACTGCTATTTGCAGGGCTCGGAGACGCAGCAGGCGGTGGCGCTGCGGCGCGTGCACGACAGCGCGCGCACGATGACGTCACCGCACTTTACGATGACGTCACTGCTATTTGCAGGGCTCGGAGACGCAGCAGGCGGTGGCGCTGCGGCGCGTGCACGACAGCGCGCGCACGATGACGTCACCGCACTTTACGATGACGTCACTGCTATTTGCAGGGCTCGGAGACGCAGCAGGCGGTGGCGCTGCGGCGCGTGCACGACAGCGCGCGCACGATG